TGAGGCCCATGGGTACGGTGACCATATTAACCAACGTAAAATAAAGGACATTTTTTCAAAATTATTTGGGAATACGTAAATACAACTTGTATGATAAAAGTACCTTGCCCATATCGTAATTTATATCAAATATTTACCAGTTAATTATATTATTTAATTGTATAAGTTCCCCTGCTGTAGCGAAAAATGAAGCCAAATCCTTTTCAAGGACTTCGCCATCCTTTGCTACCAAAATGCGTTTACCATAATTATGGTAATTATAATTCATACTGCACGACGAAACCAACACACAGTGGTTCAAAATTGGAATTCAATGTTCAGAATCCACCGCAGCCTTAATTTTTCCACCAATTTTTACTAAAAACCCAAAAAAAAAATATTTATTTTGGTGAACATTTTTTTGATGACATTTTTAAAAATTTTTGTTGTATATTTTTTTATTTTGGGAAAACCATACAATTGTTTTCAACAAGTTTTAGTTATGTAACATTTATTAACTGGAAGAGGAGAATACATTTTCTTCAAAATTGCTACCTTTTCTGCATTTTGCACTAAAAAATTTAATATAATCAAATTAAAATTCAGAAATCAGGCTCAATTGGTCTCATGCAAACATTGTAAGCTTTCATAAAAAAAAAAAATAAATTAATCAAATTAAGTGCAAAATGGAGTGAATGAATGCCAGTATTGAACCACCGTGCAGCAGGGGATTTATTGTTCTCTTTCAGTGGAACTGGAAACTCAGCGTGCAACACGATCCTGGGCACAACTTTCCCTATGCTTTATAGATTGTACAAAGATTATCGATTAAATAGAAACCCTTAAGTAGGGTGCGAAACAAACTGGCGAAAGTTTTCATTATCTTCTATACTAATTATATAAAGAGAAGTCCATTTTTTTTGTAACAGGTAATCTCGCGAACGGCTGATCCGATTTTCATGAAATTTTGTATACAAATAGCTTTCGGTAACCACCATGTTTTAGGCTAAAAAAATTTTACTTTTTTCGGGTAGGTGGACCAAGGACTGGTCTATTCGAAAAAATCTTATTATAGTCCGATTTGCTTAAAATTAAGTACGTAAGTAGCTTTTTAGCATATATTAGCATATATGACCCATTTTTTCCGGGAACTGGTCCAGGCACCGATCTATTCGAAAAAATCGAATTTACGGTCCGATTTGCTTCAAATTCGGTGCGCAGGTAGCTTTTTGCCTGGATAAGCTTATAGATTCCTGTTTTCCAATTTTCATGCAATTTCGAATATAAATAGCTTTAAGTAACGACCATATCAAGGGGCGAATTCGTCACTAGGCAAGATTTTTTTGCGCCAATCAGAAACAACGGATACTGTCAAAATATAATTATAATATATAATATATATATATATATATACTAATATATATTTAGAAAGCCGTTTGTTAGTTTTCGCAAGGCTCGAGAGCGGCTGAACCGATTTTTTTGAAACTGCCCGTGTCCCAAGGATGGTTTTAGGCTGAAAAAAAATCTATATGTAAAGGAGGCGTGGCACTTCCCATACAAACCGAATTTCTCATGCTACATATCTCTGAAAGTGTGCATTGGTAGAGTCCTGGAACTTGGTATGGAGATATACGAAATCAATCGCATACTCATGAAGAAAGAGGGCAGCTGTTGGAAAGGGGGGCGTGGCACCTCCCATACAAATCGAATTTTTATACTGCATATCTCTGAAAGTATTCATGGTACAGTACTGGAACTTCGTATGGAGATATGTATATAGTTGAAATCAAGCCCATACTCATGGAGAAAATTTGGGCTATTTGAAAAGGGGTGTGAGGCCTACAAACGTACCGACCTTTAGCTATCTTTGAATGAATTTTTTTATTTTTCTGTAGGTGTGTTTGTGAGTGAAATCCTCCTAAATGATTGTACGGATTTTAACGAAACTTTTTGTGTATTTGAGTGGGTCTCTGGATGGTTTAGTTTCACAATTTAATCCGACAGTTGGCGCTGTAGTTGAGTTATTACTAAAAATCTTATTTATGATCCGATTTGGCTAATGTTTTAAATATGTATGCAATACTATTGCAAAAACGTGCTGCCAAGTGGTGCTGAAGTCGAGCTATTACTAAAAATAGCCAAGTGAGAAAAGGGGCCGTGAAGGTCAGATTAAATCGACCTGTTGCACCATTGAGTATATCGAACGCTCCTGCGTTGCAATTGGCCCAATGGATGTGATTTTCCAATATTATTATGCGTTCAAACTTTTAAGGTATTTCGTCTGAAATAAGTATATGTATATTGCATTTCTGTAGAACAATGATTCGCACCCATTTTGAAATTGCCACCTACTATACTATAAAGCTTCTAGGACATTCACTATAGAACCGGGTCATTGTTGCCACCAGGGAGTGAAGAGGAAAAAATTTATTTCGCTTTGCGAATAACCGTGCTATGAAATGTCGCACAACTGGAGAATTTCAAGAACGGATATAACACTTTCCTTAGGTTACTTAAAGCGGCAAGTGACCACCAAACCTTAATCTTAGCAGACTAATGTGCCAATGAAAATCGTAAACGTGAATTGTTGGTGAAAGTGGTGGACCAAAAAGTTTCTATAAAATATATAAAAATTTTGGGCGGGACGAAGTTCGCCGGGTCTGCTAGTATTTTATAAGGGACATTTTTATTTTTCATATTCTGCGTTTAAAAATTTACCTCTGACAAATGCAAAGCCGATTTAAAGGACAGTTTAAGAAATAAAGGACAAACGGCGGCCTTTAATTTGAAAAGAATTATAAAGGACAGGGGGTTAAAATAAAGGACTGTCCTTTAAAATAAAGCACGGATGGTCACCGTACCCATGGGTCCCAAAGTATATTCCGTTGTCAAGTTACTTGAAAGAAATGGACAAAGACAATATCGAAATGTGTAATTTCGGGGTCTGAATTATATCAGAAACAATCGTATCCGACATAAAAAACTGTAACAGTCCTTGCTAGCTACATTGTGAAATAATCAGATGACATAATGAGGCTAAAAAAAATATAAATTATATTCACTAAAATTTTATTAATGTAAAAATAAAGATTTTGGCAAGTAGTTATCAAATTTAACGCAAAATCTAAACATTTTTTTTATTTGTAAAAGGTAAATGTTAATACAACTATTTTATTTATACTCCCAAATTTAGGATATAAAATCCCCTCCACCAAAAAACTTAAGTTGGGTAACGCCACTTCGAATTTTTTACAATTAATCAAAAAGTTGTTTATTGAAACTACCTTCTTTTTTGTATCATGGCTAAGACTGTTGGAATATTTGTAAACAGAGAGACTACATCAAACGAAACAAGAACATCTTCTTCACATACGTTTATATCGGACAGTTTATTTTTTTAAATTTAAAGAATTTTTTATGTTGTAGGAATCTCTCCAACATGCTTAGACATATTCGAACATGGGACTTTACACGACGACAAAATAGGACGTAGAGGGATTCAAGGTTTATGGATTTTTGGCAACCCATAAAGTCTTTCAAAATATTCAACCATCGAAAGACCCACTAAACATTTATTCGAGTTTTGTGTCGTCGCGAACTGCCCTCAGCAGTATAAAATATCAAAGTGTGATCCCGAAAAATACCTAAATAAATAATAAGACATTGTCTGTATCAAAATAAATAAATTATTGTTTACATACAAAATACGAACGGTAGTTAAGTGAGAGATGGGTGTCAAGGGCGCTCCCCTACAAGAGCGCAGCTACCCAATCCAAAGCGCAAGCAAAAAAAATGCATATTTTACAATTACTGCATGTACCCCAAAAAGCAAAACCAGCAACAACAACGGTAAATAAAACTCTTATACTGCTAACACTCCATCACAAACACCAGATGCAGCCAAGCAAAGAGCACCATATTGCTCTCCCACGATTGAGAGAAATAGAGATTGCGCCTATCGCGGTACCTCTAATCCGCTCTTTGTGATTTTGACAGAATCAGCTGTGTGCGTGACGTCATCTTGGTGCAATTGTTTATTGTGAGCATACGAAAAAACCAAATAACAATTTTAATATTTGTGCGTTAATATATCTGCGTGGTCAATTATTGAGACATTACAAAGCAAAATGAAGTGTGCAGTGGCAGAGTGTAATAGTGAAAACAAAAGGAAAGCGTGCGATATAAGTTTTTTTTTTCGTTTCCTACGAACGCAAAACTGGCGAAAAGGTGGAAGAAGTTCTGCCGGCGAGGAGATGCATTAAACACCAAATCGAGCTACATATGTGTGCATGAAGCACTTTACCAGTGAAGATATTGAAAATAATACACAGTTCGAAATGGGTAACATATTGTGTATTTTCATTTTAATTGCCTTGCTTCCAAAGAAGCCACATTCATGCATCCTCTCGAAAATGGTACAAAAGTCGTCAAATCAAAGCTGTGGAGTTCATGGTACCGTCCACAAATATAAATATGCACTCTGCATGGCTTTTTACAATTTATTCTTTGGGGCGAGTCCGATAATTCACTTTGCTGCACACCTTCCTTTTGGTCTACATGAAATTGCAAACACTGTTAATACATCAATTTTTTCATGTGCTAAAAATCGTACTTACCTAAAGGGCTACATGTCCAAAATTATTGCTACGTATTCCTAATTAATCGGCCGCTGTGGTGTAGTGGTAAGCAGTGCGCGCCTTCACTCATCAGTACCTGGGTTCAAGCCCTGGTCAAAGCAACATCCCAAAAAATATAGAAAAAGGTTTTTTCTTAACAGCGGTCGTCCCTCGGCAGGCAATGGCAAACCTCCGAGTGTATTTCTGCCATGAAAACCAGCTTCTCATTAAAATACAATCGCCGTTCGGACTCGGCAGAAAACTGTAGGTCCCTCCGCTTTATGTGACAACATCAAGGCGCACGC